AGTCTATGGCAATAAGCATAATATTTAGAAGATGACTTGAAAACATGTTCTTTGAGCAAAACAGTGGTAGTAGGTTCTTATGTAGGGCTTTTGATCTCCCTAGTCATGAACTTTTTAAAATAAGTTTTCAGTACCAGTCCCCCCTGCAATGCAGGCCTCAAGTCCAATAAGTCAGTTACCACATAATGGTCATGCCACTGTTTTACCAGTGACCTGACAGATAGCTATTGTAGCATGCAGGGGCCACCACTAGGTGGGACTATTGGTGGATGATTGATGGAGTCTCTGACTGGCCTACATAGCACCTTTCAGCACTATAAAAGTTAGTCAGAAGGGAGTAAGTTTCCAGGTCAGTTCCAGCTTAGTTTTGCTATGCCCTGGATCCCGAATATGTAGTGTCTTTAGTAAAGGAAATCTTACCTAGTTGTAGTAGACAATTATTTCCCTCTGTCTTAGCTAAGTTTTCTATTGTTGTGGTAAAATACTATGACCAAAAGGGAAGGTTTATTTCAGCTTACAGTTCTATGTCACCAAAAGAAATCAGGGCAGGAACTGATGCAGAAGCCATGGAGGAATGTTGCTTGCTGGCTTGCTCAACTTGCTTTCTTATCACATCCAAGATCACCTGCCCAGTGTTGGCATCATCCACAGTGGACTGGGTCCTTCCACATCAATCATTTAACAAAATGGTGCCTCCCAGATTTTCCTATAGGCCAATCTTGTGGATGTAGTTTCCCAATTAAGATTCCCTATTATAGCGTCTGAATTGTAGGGTGTTTGTGTCTCTGTCTCTCTCTGTCTCTGTCTCTGTCTCTCTCTCTCTTTGTTTGTTTGTTTTTTGTTTTTTGTTTTTTTTTTTGGTTTTTTTGTTTTTTGTTTTTTGTTTTTGGTTTTTCGAGACAGGGTTTCTCTGTGTAGTCCTGGCTGTCCTGGAACTCACTCTGTAGACCAGGCTGGCCTCGAACTCAGAAATCTACCTGCCTCTGCCTCCCAAGTTCTGGGATTAAAGGCGTGTGCCACCACTGCCTGGCTAGGATGTTTCTCTCTTAATTTCAGTTTTTTTTGGCAGGTTGATATCATGTATGCCTTTGTAAAGTTCATAAAGAGAATTTTGCATGTATCCATAAGCTATATTTAATTTCAATTAGGATTCATTTAATACTTTTCATGTAATTTGGTAATAAAGTAAAAAGTTTAATTCCATTTATGTAAAACATCTTGTTAGGTTAATATACTTTTTTCTCCCCTTCACAGCAATGTGGTTTAAACAACCATATGTGTGGTACTCATATCATTTTCCATAATATTTTTGGTAGAATTCCCTTTATTTATGGAACTATTTTATGTACATACAGTAGTAAACTAGCCATCTATTAAGAGAACTATTTCCAGTAAGTTTCATGCAGAATGGGTAATTATGACTAGGCTTCAGTCTGAAAAACCAGTAAAGAACTCAGAAATTTAAATTTGAGGTAATGAAATATTAACTTAAATTATGTTCTTAGAAATAGAAGGAGGTTTGACTCCTCATAAGATATCACAGAGACAGCACAATAATATGGGAGTTTGCTTGGTGTCATCAGAGTAGCTGCTTCAGTCTGGGGAGCATACGCATCAAAGATTCTTCTCTCACTTCTGTTGAATGACTGGTGTTCTTAAGGAAAGCTGTAGTGAAAGAGGTGCGACTTTTCTATTTTTGCCCTTCTTATCCCGATTATTACCAATCTTGTGTCTCTTGGAGATACTAATTGTCAGAGATACTAGTGAACAATGATGTGGCTATTCTTCCTACCCTTGCACATAAATAAGTATTAGCTTTTGCAGCTGAAAGGCTTCACCAGAGAAAAGTTGAATGTAACCATTAAAATGGCCCAGCATTTGTTTTTATCCTTAGGGTAGTTAAAATTCATAATAGTAGATATAATAGTACATATAAGAAGAAAACTAGCAATCAGAGAGAATTCATAGACGGACGCTACCAGAGCAAGCAAAATTTAGCAATAGAATTTTTTGAAGGAAATACATAGTTAAACAAAATAAGGGTATATAAGCAGATTGAATTATAATATGTAAATTCTTTAAAAATAGAGAAATGTTTTTGGTAATCTTAATATTGTTTGCTAAAGAGGGTAGATAGATACCATTAACTCCCAAACTACAAATTTTGAAAATCAAAGAATTCAAAAAGTAGTAGGCGATAAAAGCTATTGGGAGGGCTTATTTTAGAGGCTTAAGAGAAAATCTTGGAGCGCTGATGTGTTTGTTATGAGTTGTAAAATGAAAAGCAAGAAGCAATATTTAAATACATAATAAAGATGATAAAGGATTTGAGAGTAGTAGTAAGTTAGGTGGAGCCAACTTCTGTCCGTCCATGAAGGGAGTGGGGAAGCTGCCTGTGCGGGGTGACCAAATTCCCGACTAGCCAAGATGAGCTAAAAACAGTGGCTCTGTTTACAGAGAAAAAGAATAAGTTTTATACAAAACAAAACCCCTAACTGGCATCAAGCAGTCTCACACTCTGTAGAAGAATACATATGAATACATAGCCCAAATATAGATGCAGATACCTATTACTGGCATTTGGGAGTTCAAGGAGGACTTAATTCACTTAAAGTCATCCAGATCTGGGTCCAGTTTATTAAAAACAAAACAAGCAGCCGGGCAGTGGTGGCACATGCCTTTAATCCCAGCACTTGGGAGGCAGAGGCAGGCGGATTTCTGAGTTCGAGGCAAGCCTGGTCTACAGAGTGAGTTCCAGGACAGCCAGGGATATAAAGAGAGAAACCCTGTCTCAAAAAAACCAAAAAATAAAAAACAAACAAACAAACAAACAAACAAAAAAAAAGCAAGCAAACAAAAAGAGGTACAGGTTACAGTGGGCTGGGACTGCAATTAAGAATCCTGTATTCAGCTAAGAGACCTGGCTTAACCTATTTGAAGGAAACCAGATGTGACTTGTAATAGAGTTACTTTTGTCTAAAAAAGGTAAGATAGAACACTAGCTAGTCATGGCCTTACACACCTGCAGCTCCAATACTATAGAGGCTGAGTCAAGAAGATTGTTGCGAATCTGAAGAGCATCTCAGCTATAGAGTAGCAAGTCTATATCCTGTCACAAGGAACCAAAAAGAGATAGACAGACACTTTTTGTTGTTGCTTTTTGAGACAGAGTTTCTCTGTGTATTTCTGGAATCTGTAGACCAGGCTGGCCTTGAACTCAGAGATCTGCCAAACATTGCCTCCCAAGTGCTGGGATTAAAGGCATGTACCACCACTGCTCAGCTATGAGGTATATATACTTAAAAATTCATATACACAAACCAATCTCAGTGTATATTCAAAGATAAAGAAGCTGAAGCAGGAAGATTGAGTTACCTTTGTATAAGAAATATAAGGTAGTATACTAGCTAGATATGGTCATGTACCCCAGTACTGTGTTCAAGAACAGATGGGATTTTTAGAGTAAGACAATGTAGAAAAAGAAAAAAAAATCAGTAGAATACTAGCAACTGCTAATGTATCAAAAGAATATTAGATAATTGACTGTACAGTTAACTTCAGAAACATTCTCATGATATATTACCAGAAAATCTATGTTAAAAGGAAAAAGCCATATTTACAGTAGTAGGTTAGATTTGAAGTCATTCCTAATTAAATTAAAATAGATTAAGCAAAACAAAACAAAAAACAGTTAAGGATGTTAACGCCATTAGCCAATGTCTATCATACTGTAGAATGGAAACATTTCACAGGCATTTCTGTCAAAATGGAAAAATAAAAGAGGGACTTTTTGTATTACCAGCCTGTTTAGCTTATTTGGAAACGTAGGACCAGAAATATTGGAGTAACTACTGCTATTAAAGAGAAACATTTGTTTCTACTAGTATTTTTACTAATGTTAATTTAATAAGGTAAACTGTTAAAATGGTTTTTAACTGAGTAAGTAGCCAAACACTTTTCTTTGCTAACAAGAAAAATAGTAGTTCTATAAAAACATATATATATATATATATATGTATATATATATATACATATATATATATATAATAAAAAAGATTAAGTATAAAAACAAAGCTACTTCTGAGATAAAAATGTATAAAATTTAACTCTTCAGATTAAGTGCATTTAATTTTAGTCTGTTTTGTGTTGCCTTGGGTTGATTTTGAAACTGACAAAAAAAGCTCTCAGCATATATGGAAAGATAAATATCTAAGAGTAGCCAAGAAAAGAAGCTAAGTGGGGTTTGCTTACCAAATGAAAAACATATTATATAATTTCTGTGACCAAAAGAGTAAAAAATGACTTTGTAGGTAGGGCAGTGTGGTGTGGTGACACATGCCTTTAATCCCAGCACTTGAAGGCAGAGACAGGCAGATATTTGTGAGTTAAAGGCCAGCCTGGTCTACAAAGTGAGTTCCAGGAGAGCCAGAGCTGTTACACAGAGAAACTCTGTCACAAACAAACATACTTTGAAATAGAAACTAAAACAATGTAAGAAATAAAACAATGAAATATGAGGTTTACTATTATATCAGTGTTTATTTTAACTCAGTGGGAAGAGGATCAACTTAACCATCAGTCCATATAGAATAAAAGAAATTGAGTTGTGTCATACAATAAAATGAATGTGAAATATAAAAACCTTAGAAAGAAAATGCAGTAGTGTGGGTTTTTGTGTTTTGTTTTGTAACCTTGAAAATGTGTTACCTTGGAGTCTAGTAGAGAATTCAGATCTTATGAAATTTGCCTTACTGTACTTTTAGTTGAGGTGTTTCGATGAGTATCAGAAGATAAGTGAACTGTTAGAATTGATTATTGTCACTCAATCCTTCTAAAGGTTATTCTGAAGGTATTCAAAGACAGTATTTTGTATTCTGTTTATGCTAGGCCATAATACCACTATAAATTGAGTTACTTGTACTATTTTACTATGGAAATGAGTTTCCCTTTCAGATTAAGTTAGTTGCAACTGATAACAGCTGTCACTTTTTTTACCCGAGGGTATGAAAGTGCCAGTGTGTCTAGCACATGTGAACCTTGCAAAAGTAGGAACAGACATTCAGCCCAGACTGAAGAGCCTGTTCAAGCAAAATTATTCAGCAGAAAGAATCATGAACAGCTGGAAAAAATAATAAAATATAGTAGGTCTGCAGAAATATCTTCAGGTATGTTCCTCTTTTTTTGTTTGTTTTAATCTAGGGAATTCATCTTAAATTTGAAAAGCTACACTAAAGCACGTTTTAATAATAGACTATCACAGATTCCTATCATGTAAAAGGTTTTAATCATAGAGAAATATAAACTCCAAATAGTTTCTGTGATCTTTTTAGTGTTTCTGACACATTAAAAAATTCTTTGTAAACAAATAATTGTTATTAGTATGGAATTCCTAATTGAAATTCTAGAAATCTTACCTAAATAGGATTTGATATGAAATCTTATTACTTCTTTTTCTTAAAACATTTGCTGCATCAGGCATGTGATAAAAGTGTGTGTACATTACTTTAACAAATACAACTAGCAAGGAATTAGTTCCTTCTAGCCTTGTATATTCATATCTCACAATCTTTGGCTTGAACTTATTTTCTTCAGTGATAGTGAATAAGAGCATTCCCATGACTGCCATGCTGTTTCTCAGCTTACTTACCAGTTGTTAATTTTTTTGCTTTTGTTTTTTTCTCCTTTCACTCATAAGTAAAATTTTAATTCAATAATCTTGAAATTGTATATGAATCTAAGGTTGGGTAGCTTTCCCTTTCCTCTTTCATTTCCTTTTGTGTCAGTGCAAAGCTTTTCCATTATCTGAGTCACAGGATATAGTATTAGGTGTTTTTAGATGTTTATGTTGTCCTTTTGAGTCCTTTGGGGTCATCTAACTACTTTTTATATTTTTACACTAAATGTCAGTATAATACGTAATTGGTGGTATGCTCTCAGTAAGTGTTTATTGAGTGGGGTCAATGACTGTCACCATTTTAAGTATTCAATATTTGATGATTTATAAAAAGAATAGGTACATCTCAAATACATAGAATTGTAAATAGAGATTCAATCTCATTTGTCTCCTCTTGTGAATATGGTATCATCTATTTGTATCATATTTTATATACAAAAGTTTGATTATAGAATTTTTATGCATGTCGTTTGAGCTTTATTTTTTTAAAAAAGATTTATTTATTTATTATATATGAATACACTGTAGCTGTCTTCAGACACACCAGAAGAGGGCATCAGATCTCATTACAGATGGTTGTGAGCCACCATGTGGTTGCTGGGATTTGAACTCAGGACCTCTGGAAGTGCAGTCAGTGCTCTTAACCACTGAGCCATCTCTCCAGCCCATCGTTTGAGCTTTATAATGCTACATTATTTTATTTTTATTTTTCAGCTGTGGAATTATAGGAAAGGTACTTGCTTTCTTCCAACACTTTTTAAATGGGTGGCAATGCAAATTGTACTTTTCTGTAAAAGCTTTGAAAACAGTGCCCTTAGCTTGTAACTATTCTTTGGAATGCATCCTAATGGAGAAGTGAAAAAAATTGAAGGTTTAGTGTTGGCCGAACAGTATAATTCCATGTATGTATGAGTAGAAATATAAAGGAAAACAAGCATAGAAGAAAATGTATGAGTGTTTGCAGTGATTTTAATGAACTGTGTTTTCTGAATTGTATGTAGTAAATAGTTGTTAATTTTTTAATCAGAAAAGAAACTTCACATTTCGAAATGGCTTTGTCATATTGCTAGGAGTTCATTCATAGCACTTAACTTTCAACTTAAAGTTCAAGATTCCTTTGGCAAAAATAACAATTCTATTGTCCTGTACTCAGCAAAATATTCAAATTTTCATCTCCTTTCACTATTTTTACCCAGTAGTGTTATTGTCAAAGAGTTGGGTGGGAGTTGAGGAAGGGCACAGAATTGAATGGCTTAATAAAAATTGAGTAGTATTATCTTCATTGAAAGTTAGTATTCCAGACCTTATTGTTGTCATTTAAAAAAAAAAAGAGGTCTGGCACAGTGGCACATGCCATTAATCCCAGTACTGGGGCAGAGACAGGCACATCTATGTGAGTGGTGGCCAGTCTGGTCTACATATTGAGTTGTCTATCAGGGGCACATCCTAAAAACCTGTCTCAAATAATTTATTGAATTTTTGGTAAATTAAATAGTTTGTAGGTATAAATATGCTGTTCATCAACATGTTTTTCATTTACTGTGACCCTAAGATTCTCTACATATTTATTGATGCCTGTTGTGACTTGGCCTATAACATGGTAATTAGAGTGCAGCATTTATTGCTATTATTGGATTATGCTTTCCTCTTTTCCCACAGTAATTATAGGAGTGTCAGTGTCTTATACTCCCTACCCTTAAAAAAAAAAAAAAAAAAAGATAGTACATCACTATGGTTGTCGTCACTGATCACAACAACTTTAGTTTATAGCAGTTTCTTAATGAAAACACTTCACATTTTTAAACTATTTCTATGGATGTATTGTGCATATATGTTTCTTCACCAAGTGAATGACTAGTGCCTGAGGAAGCAAGTAGAGGGTATCTGATCCCCTGGAATCATAGTTCTAGGTGCTGTGAACCGCCATGTGAGTGTTGAGAATCAAACCTAGGTCCTCTGGAACATCAACCAGTGCTTACTCTTAACCATTGAGCCAGCTCTCCTGACCATCTAATGAGAATGTTTCCAAAGACAGCGTAAACTATTATTTGCAGTAACATTTAGATAAATATCTTTTTTAAATTTTATTTTTTTCTCATTCACTTACTCATAATAAGCCCTGTGTTCACAACATTTTATGCTTATCCTATGTCTACCCTTCCCTACAGCATATGCTAGAATTTTACAGCAGTCTAACAATTTAAAAGAAATACATGTGAAGTGCCAGGAGGCACTTATATGGGCACAATTTGCTTAGTGCCCATATTTGTTACTTTTCTTTTTTGAACTTAAAATCCTATAGTATCCTGATTTTTGTTTGTTTGTTTATTTGTTTTTTGTTTTTTGTTTTTTTAATTTTTATGAGTTGGTCTCTCTGTAGAGCCCTGGCTGTTCTTGAGCTCTCTGTGTAGACTAGTCTGGCCTTGAACACAGATCCACCTGCCTCTGCTTCCTGAGTGATGGAATTAAAGTTGTGTGCTACCATACTTGACTTGTTTTGGTTTTTACTTTTATGTGTGTGGGTGCTTTGTCTCTGTATGTCTGTGCATTGGATGCCTGATGCTGGAGCAGCAGACAGTAGTTAGACGTCATGTGGGTGCTGAGAATTGAACCTGAGTCCTCTAAAAGAGCAGCTAGCACTCTTAACTGTTGAGCCATCTTTCCAACCCTTAAATTTCTTTTCATTTTTAGATTTAGCTTGGTATATTTGGTGTACATATGGTACTAAACTCACAAAAAATAAAAACCTCATATTCTGAAGTTTATAATTCACAGTTGGCAAAACTGGCCACCTTTCTTGTTTTATAAACATGAAACCTAGCCAACACATCTGTAAAGGTAGTAGAAACATTTTTTGTGACAGTGTTTAAAAATTATTTGTTTCATATACCTGATACACTGAAACGCATTAAGGTTTTGGTAAATAGATAAAGATGTTTTTGTGCTGCAACCAGTTTTTGCTACCAGTCAGTATCTGAAAAATAACTCATCAAAAGCCCAGCTATGATGGGCATAGGCTATAATAAATAAAGATCATAGAGATTTAGAAACATTCCAAAATGCTATTTTGATTCAGAAGTACATATTTGTATTAGTACATATTTATATTATTTAAAATTATAAAAGTATTTTACCTCATACAGCAGAACATGAGGGATTTTTTATTTTAATATGATTTACAATTATAAAAACATCTTAGCTTCTTTCTGCAGTAATATATGAATAGAAAGTAAAGTCTCATTTGAGTCCTTAGAGGACTCTAAAGAAGATAAAACAAAGGGAAGAGAGATGGCCAAGCTGTTAAATGTTCAACTGACAACTAGATTTCAGATAAAACAGAAACCTAGACCTGACAAAACTAGACACACATTAGTACAATTAAGATTAGGCTAGCAGAGAGAAGGGAGCTTTCTAGCATTCATTTTAGTTTAGGAGGAAAGACTGACATGAAATTTAAATCTCTTAACTACATAAAAGGAAAGATGAAAGTTAGAATTAATTAGGAGTGATTTTATTGTAGAATAATAATTCATCATAGCAAACTATTAAGCCATTAACATACTGTTTTCTTAGAGCTTTGAAACAACATTTTAAAAATTAAACTATGATTTAACTTGTCATATGTGAATTGAAAGTTTATATAACAATGATCTGGATATTTTCCTTTAAGTGGGGATTTCTTGGTTTTCATTATTTCTGTATGTCTTATTTCTATTCTGCAATAGTAATTATATCTTCATGCTCTTTGCATGCTTTTTTTTAAAAAAAAACAACATATATTGAAACATTCAACTTTTTTTTATCTCTTAGAATCATTGATTTTTGAAGAAAAAAAACCTAGATATTTGTAGTTCTTCTGTTCTAGTAAAATTACAGAATTTCAAAGGTAGAAGAACTACTTGGGTATGGGTTGCTTTTGGTTCCATTTCTGTTTCTAAAAAGAACACAAAATTTCCTAATTTATACCCTGCAAGAAAGTTTAGGGCTAACCATATGGTTCAAAGTGGCATATGTGAGGTGCAGGGTTTGTTTGTTCTCCATCACTAAACACCCACGCAAAAGAGTATGACTTTGAAAGAGTGTTGCCAGTAAGTTCATGGGGCAGTGATATATGGGGAGTCTGACAACTATGGTTGGGCACCTTCTACTCTGATTTGTCATCTGGTGTTAAGTAAATATTACATTGTAGTGACCAGTTAATGACATAATTATGCATTGTTAAGCCACAGCAATTAATAAGTACACTTCTCTTTTTTGATGTGTTCATATTACCAAAATAAACCCAAATTATTTTAATTTGCTTATTGCATTTAAGAGCTTATTGATTTTCAGTAACTAGTCCCATAAAGTACATATAGTTTTCCAGGTTTTTGTTTAATTTTGGTTTGGTTTAATTTTCAGACCAGTTTTTGGCTATGTAGTCCAAGCTGCTGACCTCTTTAACTTATAGTCCTTTTTTATGTTCCCCAGTTCTGGATTTATAGGTAGGCTCTACCATACTTGGTCATTTTTTATTTTTACTGAGGAATAAGTATGATTCTAAGTGGTATCAGATATTGCTATTCTTGAATTTAAATATTTTAATACATAGTATCTATCTTAATATTTTAAGATTATTTCTTTAAAAGCCCTGAAATAGGATTTGTTGTGTTAAAGCTTAGAAAACTATGTAGAGTAACAGGAGTTATTATGAAGATTTTTATTGACATTATTTTCTTGATCTTTTTTATCTTCCAGAAACTGGAAGTGATTTTTCCATGTTTGAAGCTTTACGGGATACTATTTATTCCGAAGTGGCTACATTGATTTCTCAAAATGAGTCTCGTCCACATTTTCTGATTGAACTTTTCCATGAGCTGCAGCTACTTAACACAGACTACTTGAGACAGCGAGCTTTATATGCGTTGCAGGTATCTGGTCCTCACAGTCTTCTCTCCGCTTACTCAGTGCTTATTATATATGGTTACCTCCTTAAATGAAGAGCAGCCTTTTGATTTATTTTTTGTTTTTGCTTTTTTGGCAACATTTTATTTAAAACTTCTTATATAGCTTCAGTATGTTTTAGTTAATCTTTACACACATTTTTCTATGGTTTAATATTCTTTGCTTACTATTTAATCTATGAAAAGTGCTTTATTTTTGTTCCATCTGCCACTGCTTTGAAGTTTGTCACATAAATTTAGAATAAAGCATATATATATGTATTATATATAAATGTCTTTATTTTACTATTTAGGATATTGTGTCCAGACATATTTCTGAAAGTGATGAAAAAGAAGGAGAAAATTTAAAGTCTGTGAATTCTGGCACTTGGGTAGCATCAAACTCAGAACTTACTCCAAGTGAGAGCCTTGTTACTACTGATGATGTAAGCCAATATGATATGTTAAATGTGGGCACACTTTCAATGTATAGCAAAGGTTGACAATCTGATGATTGTTGATAGAGATAATATTGTTGATGTTTTAAAAAATAATATGCTTTGAAGCCTGCACTATCCACATGTACCTTTAATAGGTATTTAATAAGTCTTTGTTGTATTCTTCAGAACATTAGGTACACCAAATAGCAGTCAAGTCAGAAAACCTTTAAATATATAAGTACAAAATAAATCAAGTCTTTTTGTAAAAGATAAACCTGGACAAAAGAAAATCATCCAGGACAAAAATGAAATTTAATGTATTCTACTTAGACAAATTTTTGAATAAAATAGAAAGATCAGGGAAAAATGATAGGATACTTTTATGTATTAGATATTTGAAAAACATCTATTTACAGGTTCAGATACTGATTTATAGTTTTTGTATAGCAAATATTTGTATAATTTAAGCACCTGGAGATCTCTAAGAAAGAATAAAATAATGGATTAGCAGATAATCTGATTATAGATAGTTGAAACAACATTGTTGTGATTTTTACCAATATTGTAATGTTAACACAAAGTATTCTGAAGATAGTATTTCTCCAAAAGGATATTTTGTCTTCTTTTTAGGAAAGAATAATCTATTTAGAAACTATTGAAGATTTTCTTTTATTTTTTACTCTTAAACTCATGCTGAATATAATACCTCCTGAATTGTCCTTTTTTCTTAAGATTGTTCTATACTGTGCTGTAAAATCATATGCTATTATAAAAGAAACTGTCTAAAAATTACATAGTTGGAGGTTTGTTGTGTTTGTGCATATGTAGTGTATGTACATGTGACTGTGGTGGAGTAGCAGTAATAGTAGTAGTATGTGTTTGTGTACCTGCGTGTGGAGGCCAGAAGTTGACATAGAGTGTCTTCCTTGATTGCTTTCTACATTGTCTTTTGAGACAGCATCTCTCATGGAACCTGGCGCTTGTTGATTTGGATATTGTGATCACTTGGGAAAGACTCAGTCCCATAGTTTTTATTTTTATAATATTAAATATAAATTAGGAAATGACTACTTATAACAGTTATCTAAAAATGATATGTTTCTTTTTTGCAGAAAATGAAAAAAAGGCAGACAACTGTCTAGCTAGCCATCAATCTAATTTATTTGGGGCATGGGAAGAATTACTGGAATATATTATGATATAACTGTTATTGGGTATCGAGATAACTTGGGAAAGACTGTAATCAAGTGATAGAAATTGTATTAATGAGAGATGGTGATATTAACTATAGAAAATGCAAAAGGACCTTCTTGACTGATGTAAATTGTCTTTGTATATGTGTTGTTTTAAAACTTAGAGAGAGTCTGTGTGTGTGTGTGTGTGTGTGTGTGTGTGTGTGTGTGTGTGTGTGTGT